GAACAGGGACACACCTGGGATATGGGGACACACCTGGGGACACACCTGGGACATGGGGACATACTTGGGGACACACCTGGGGACAGGGACACACCTGGGACATTGGGACACACCTGGGATATGGGGGCACACCTGGGGACACCTGGGGGTCATGGGGACACACCTGGGGACACACCTGGGGACAGGGACACACCTGGGATGTGGGGACACACCTGGGGACAGGGACACACCTGGAGGTCATGGGGTCACACGTGGGATGTGGGGACACACCTGGGGACACTCCTGGGGACACCTGGGACATTGGGACACACCTGGGGGTCATGGGGACACACCTGGGGACACACCTGGGATGTGGGGACACACCTGGGGACACCTGGGGCTCATGGGGACACACCTGGGGACAGGGACACACCTGGGATATGGGGACATACCTGGGGACAGGGACACACCTGGGGACAGGGACACACCTGGGATATGGGGACACACCTGGGGACACACCTGGGATGTGAGGACACAGCCAGGGACACCTGGGGGTCATGGAGTCACACCTGGGATGTGAGGACACACCTGGGATGTGGGGACACACCTGAGATATGAGGGTACACCTGGGGACACTCCTGGGGAGACCTGGGATATGGGGACACACCTGGGATATGGGGACATATCTAGGATGTGGGGACACACCTGGGGACACCTGGGGGTCATGGGGACACACCTGGGAACAGGGACACACCTGGGATATGGGGACACACCTGGGATATGGGACACACCTGGGGACACTCCTGGGGACACCTGGGACATGGGGACACACCTGGGACATGGGGACACACCTGGGATATGGGGACACACCTGGGGACACTCCTGGGGACACCTGGGGGTCATGGGGACACACCTGGGGACAGGGACACACCTGGGATATGGGGACACACCTGGGATATGAGGATACACCTGGGATGTGGGGACACACCTGGGATATGGGGACACACCTGGGATGTGGGGACACACCTGGGGACACACCTGGGGACACCTGGGGGTCATGGGGACACACCTGGGGACAGGGACACACCTGGGACATGGGGACACACCTGGGGACACACCTGGGGACACCTGGGGATCATGGGACACACCTGGGGACACACCTGGGGATCATGGGACACACCTGGGGCTCATGGGGACACACCTGGGGACAGGGACACACCTGGGGACACACCTGGGATGTGGGGACACACCTGGGGACACTCCTGGGGGTCAGGGGATCACACTTGGGACATGAGGACACACCTGGGATATGGGGACACACCTGGGGACACCTGGGGGTCATGGAGTCACACCTGGGGACAGGGACACACCTGGGACATGGGGACACACCTGGGATATGGGGACATATCTGGGATATGGGGACACACCTGGGATATGGGGACACACCTGGGATATGGGGACACACCTGGGGACACCTGGGGCTCATGGGGACACACCTGGGACAGGGACACACCTGGGATATGGGGACACACCTGGGGACACACCTGGGATGTGGGGACACACCTGGGATATGGGGACACACCTGGGATATGGGGACACACCTGGGGACACCTGGGGGTCATGGGGACACACTTGGGATGTGGGGACACTCCTGGGGACACACCTGGGATGTGGGGACACACCTGGGGACAGGGACACACCTGGGGACACTCCTGGGGGGACATGGGGACACTCCTGGGGGTCTCGGGGGGGCTCAGGTGACCCCCATTTCCCCCCCAGTTTGACGTGGACAAGGAGTTGGGGGAGCGGCAGAGCTCCCCTTGCACTGGGGAGCTTGGGTGGTTTGGGGTCCCTGGGTGGGTTTGGGGGACTCAGGGGGTCCTGGGTGCCCTGTGGGATTTGGGGGACCCTGTGGGATTTGGGGGCTCAGGTGACCCAGTACCTGCCCCCAGTTTGAGTGGACAAGGAGTTGGGGGAGTGGCAGAGCTCCCCTTGGGCACTGGGGGAGATTTGGGGTCCCTGGGTGGGTTTGGGGGCTCAGGGGGTCCCAGGTGCCCTGTGGGATTTTGGGGGCTCAGGATGACCCCAGTGCCCCTGTCTCCCCAGTTTGAGGTGGACAAGTAGCTGGGGGGCAGCAGAGCTCCTGTCATGCTGGGGGTTTGGGTGGCTTTGGGGTCCCTGGGTGGGTTTGGGGGCTCAGGGGGTCCCAGGTGGAATGTGGGATTTGGGGGACCCTGTGGGATTTGGGGGCTCAGGTGACCCCAGTACCCCATTCCCCCAGTTTGACGTGGACAAGGAGTTGGGGAGCGGCAGAGCTCCTGTCATGCTGGGGGGTTTGGGTGGGTTTGGGGTCTCTGGGTCGGTTTGGGGGCTCAGGGGGTCCCAGGTGCACTGTGGGATTTGGGGGACCCTGTGGACTGGGGGCTCAGTGACCCCATGTCCCCCAGTTTGAGGTGGACAAGGAGCTGGGGAGCGGCAGAGCTCCTGTCATGCTGGGGGGAGTGTCCCTGGAGTGGTGTTTTGGGGTCCCTGGGTGGGTTTGGGGGGCTCAGGGGGGTCCCAGGGGAACCTGTGGGATTTGGGGGGGCTCAGGTGACCCCAGTGCCTCGTTCCCCCAGTTTGACGTGGACAAGGAGCTGGGGGAGCGGCAGAGCTCCTGTCACGCTGGGGGGGTTTGGGTGGGTTTGGGGGTCCCTGGGTGGGTTTGGGCTCAGGGGGCTCAGTGGGGGTCCCAGGTGCCCTGTGGGATTTGGGGGGACTGTGGGATTGGTGAGCTCTGATGTACCCCATTCCCCCAGTTTGACGTGGACAAGGAGCTGGGGAGCGGCAGAGCTCCTGTCATACTGGGGGGTTTGGGGCTCAGGGTGTTTTGGGGGCCCTGGGTGGGTTTGGGGGTCAGGGGGTCTGAGCCCCTGTGGGATTTGGGGGCTCAGGTGACCCAGTGTTCCCCCAGTTTGACGTGGACAGGAGGCGGGGGGCGCAGAGCTCCTGTCATGCGTGGGGTCCCTGGGTGGATTTGGGGGGCTCAGGGGATCCCAGGGGGGTTTGGGGGCCCTGTGGGATTTGGGGCTCAGGTGACCCCAGTGCCTCTTCCCCAGTTTGACGTGGACAAGGAGTTGGGGGAGGCAGCAGAGCTCCTGTCATGCTGGAGGGGTTTGGGTGGGTTTGGGGTCTCTGGGTGGGTTTGGGGGGCTCAGGGGGGTCCCAGGTGCCCTGTGGGATTTGGGGGGGCTCAGGTGACCCCAGTGCCCCCATTCCCCCCAGTTTGAGGTGGACAAGGAGTTGGGGGAGCAGCAGAGCTCCTGTCATGCTGGGGGGGTTTGGGTGGGTTTTGGGGTCCCTGGGTGGGTTTGGGGGCTCAGGGGGGTCCCAGGTGGAATGTGGGATTTGGGGGACCCTGTGGGATTTGGGGGGCTCAGGTGACCCCAGTGCCCCATTCCCCCAGTTTGACGTGGACAAGGAGTTGGGGGAGCGGCAGAGCTCCCGTCACACTGGGGGGGTTTGGGTGGGTTTTGGGGTCTCTGGGTGGGTTTGGGGGCTCAGGGGGTCCCAGGTGCCCTGTGGATTTGGGGGGACCCTGTGGGATTTGGGGGGGCTCAGGTGACCCCAATGTTCCCCCCAGTTTGAGGTGGACAAGGAGCTGGGGGAGCGACAGAGCTCCTGTCATGCTGGGGGGGTTTGAGGTCCCTGAGGGTGTTTTGGGGTCCCTGGGTGGGTTTGGGGGGCTCAGGGGCAGGTGCCCGGATTGGGGAACCCTGTGGGATTTGGGGGCTCAGGTGACTCCAGTGCCCCCATTCCCCCAGTTTGACGTGGACAAGGAGCTGGGGGAGCGGCAGAGCTCCTGTCATGCTGGGGGGTTTGGGTGGGTTTGGGGTCCCTGGGTGGGTTTGGGGGCTCAGGGGAGGCTCAGGGGGGGTCCTAGGGTGCCCTGTGGGATTTGGGGGGGCTCAGGTGACCCCAGTGCCCCCCATTTCCCCCCAGTTTGACGTGGACAAGGAGGCGGGGGAGCGGCAGAGCTCCTGTCATGCTGGGGGGCTTTAGGGTCTCTGAGGGTGTTTGGGGTCCCTGGGTGGGTTTGGGGGGCTCAGGGGGTCCCGGTGCCTGTGGATTCGGGGGACCCTGTGGGATTTGGGGGGCTCAGGTGACCTCAGTGCCCCCATTTCCCCCCAGTTTGACGTGGACAAGGAGGCGGGGGAGCGGCAGAGCTCCTGTCATGCTGGGTGGATTTGGGGGTCCCTGGGTGGGTTTGGGGGGCTCAGGGGGTCCCAGGTGCCCTGTGGGATTTGGGGGCCCTGTGGGATTTGGGGGGGCTCAGGTGACCCCGTTCCCCCCCAGTTTGAAGTGGACAAGGAGTTGGAGGGGTCAGCAGAGCTCCCCTTGCACTGGGGGGGTTTGGGTGGGTTTTGGGGTCCCTGGGTGGGTTTGGGGGGCTCAGGGGGTCCCAGGTGGAAGGTGGGATTTGGGGGGCTCAGGTGACCCCAGTGCCTCCATTTCCCCAGTTTGACGGTGGACAAGGAGCTGGGGAGCGGCAGAGCTCCTGTCATGCTGGGGGGTTTGGGGGTCCCTGGGTGGGTTTGGGGGTCTCTGTGGGTTTGGGGGGCTCAGGGGGGGTCCCGGGTGCCCTGTGGGATTTTGGGGGGCTCAGGTGACCCCAGTACCCCCCGTTCCCCCCCAGTTTGACGTGGACAAGGAGTTGGGGGAGCAGCCGAGCTCCTGTCACACTGGGAGTCCCTGGGTGGGTTTGGGGTCCCTGGGTGGGTTTGGGGGGCTCAGGGGGGGTCCCGGGTGCCCTGTGGGATTTGGGGGGACCCTGTGGGATTTGGGGGGGCTCAGGTGACCCCAATACCCCCCATTCCCCCCCGGTTTGAGGTGGACAAGGAGTTGGGGGAGCGACAGAGCTCCTGTCATGCTGGGGGGGTTTGGGTGGGTTTGGGGGTCCCTGGGTGGTTTTGGGGGGCTCAGGGGGTGTCCCAGGTGGAAGGTGGGATTTGGGGGGGCTCAGGTGACCCCATTCCCCCCAGTTTGACGTGGACAAGGAGGCGGGGGAGCGGCAGATCTACCACCGGTACTGCCTGGAGCGCGCGGCCGCGCACTGCGCCCACGTGCTGACCACCGTGTCCCACGTCACAGCCGCTGAGGCTGAGCACCTGCTCAAGAGGAAGCCAGGTGGGCACCCCAAAAACACCCCCAGGACACCCCAAAATCACCCAGGGCTCCCCAAAACCCCCCAGCCTCAGGGAACCCCAATAACCCCCCCAAATCCTGACCACCGTGTCCCACGTCACCACCCACGAGGCTGAGCAGCTGCTCAAGAGGAAGCCAGGTGGGCACCCCAAAAACACCCCCAGGGCACCCCAGCTTCAGGGAACCCCAATAACCCCCCCAAATCCTGACCACCGTGTCCCACGTCACAGCTGCTGAGGCTGAGCACCTGCTCAAGAGGAAGCCAGGTGGGCACCCCAAAATGTACCCTAAACACCCCCAGGGGCACCCCAAAACTCCCCAGGGCACCCCAAAAACACCCCCAGGGCACCCCAAAAACCCCCAGGGCACCCCAAAAACACCCCCAGGACACCCCAAAAACCCCCCAATCTCAGGGTACCCTGATATCCCCACCCAGGACCCCCAGACTCCCCACGTCACCACCCACGAGGCTGAGCAGCTGCTCAAGAGGAAGCCAGGTGGGCACCCCAAAATGTACCCCAAACCCCCCAGAGCACCCCAAAACTCCCCCAGCTTCAGGGAACCCCCACAACCCCCCAAATCCTGCCCACCGTGTCCCACGTCACAGCCGCTGAGGCTGAGCACCTGCTCAAGAGGAAGCCAGGTGGGCACCCCAAAAACACCCCCAGGGCACCCCAAAAACACCCCCAGGACACCCCAAAACCCCCCAGGACACCCCAAAACCCCCCCAATCTCGGGGTACCCCAATAACCCCCCCAAATCCTGCCCACCGTGTCCCACGTCACCACCCACGAGGCTGAGCAGCTGCTCAAGAGGAAGCCAGGTGGGCACCCCAAAATGTACCCTAAACACCCCCAGGGCACCCCAGAAACACCCCCAGGGCACCCCAAAACTCCCCAGGGCACCCCAAAGCCCCCAGGGCACCCCAAAACCCCCAGCTTCAGGGAACCCCACTAGCCCCACCCAGGACCCCCAAACTCCCCCACGTCACCAGCCACGAGGCTGAGCAGCTGCTCAAGAGGAAGCCAGGTGGGCACCCCAAAAACACCCCCGGGGCACCCCAAAATCATCCCCAGGGCACCCCAAAAACACCCCAAGGCACCACAAAATCACCCCAGGGCACCCCAAAACTCCCCAGGGCACCCCAAAAACCCCAAACCCCCAACCTCGGGGTACCCCGATATCCCCACCCAGGACCCCCCAAACTCCCCCACGTCACCACCCACGAGGCAGAGCAGCTGCTCAAGAGGAAGCCAGGTGGGCACCCCAAAATGTACCCCAAACCCTCCCAGGGCACCCCAAAAACACTCCCGGGGCACCCCAAAACCCCCCAGCACCCCCAGCCTCAGGGTACCCCAATATCCCCACCCAGGACCCCCAAACTCCCCCACGTCACCACCCACGAGGCAGAGCAGCTGCTCAAGAGGAAGCTAGGTGGGCACCCCAAAATGTACCCCAAACACCCCCAGGGCACCCCAAAAACCCATCAGGGCACCCCAAAAACACTCCCAGAGCACCCCAAAACCCCCAACCCTCCCAGGCCCCCTCACCCCTGGAAGGACCCAAGGGGACCCTAGAATGGATCAAGGGGGGGTGGAATCAGAGGGGGATCCCAGAGATTTGGAGGTGACCCTCGGGAGTCCCCTGGATTTTGGGGTCCCCTGGACCCCCTAGACCTACTGACCCCCACTTTTGGGGAACCCCAAAACCCCAGGAACCCCCCTCATCATCCCCAGAAGGACCCAGCTCTGCCTTAGGGGACCCCAAATGGGAATCAGGGGGTCCCAGAGACTGGGGGCGACCCTCGAGGGTCCCCTGGATTTTGGGGTCCTCCTGACCCCCTAGATTTGCTGACCCCCACTTTTGGGGGGAACCCTCAGAAACCCCCCGTCATCATCCCCAGAAGGACCCAGCTCTGCCTTGAGGGGACCCCGAGTGGGGACTCAGGGGGATCCCAGGATTGGGGGTGACCTGGGGAGTCCCCCTGGACTTTAGGGTCCCCAGACTCCCCTGACCCCCCTAGATCTACTGACCCCCCACTATTTGGGGGAACCCCCAAAACCCCCAGAAACCCCCCCCCTCATCATCCCCAGAAGGACCCAGCTCTGCCTTGAGGGGACCCCACGACGGGGTCCCAGGATTTGGGGGTGACCCTGGGGGTCCCCTGGATTTGGGGGTCCCCCAGACCCCAATTCCTGATGACCCCCAGGACCCTCCAGACCCCCCTCACCCCTAAAAGACCCCCAGTAGGCCCAAAGTGTGCCCTGGCCAGGGCACCCACCCTGTGCATTGAGGGGGATCAGGGAGGTCCCAGAAGATTTCAGGGAAACCCTCAGGGGTCCCCTGGATTTTGGGGTCCCCTTGACTCCCCTGACCCCCTAGATTTACTGAATCCCCCTTTGGGGAACCCCAGGAGACCCCAAGAGACCCCCTCATCATCCCCAGAAGGACCCAGCTCTGCCTTGAGGGACCCCAAGAGGGGGTCCCAGGGATTTAGGGGGTGACCCTCGAGGGGTCCCCCTGGATTTTGGGGTCCCCCTGGATTTTAGGGGTCCCCTGACCCCCTGACCCCCTGACCCCCTCCCCAGACCTGGTGACCCCAACGGGCTGAACGTTCGCAAGTTCTCGGCCATGCACGAGTTCCAGAACCTGCACGCCCAGAGCAAGGCCCGGGTGCAGGAGTTCGTCAGGGGGCACTTCTACGGGTCAGTCACCCCAAAAAGGCACCCCAAAATGGGGGCGGACCCCAAAAACACAGGGGGACCCCAAAACACGGGGGAACTCAAAAACCTGGGTGGAATCCAAAATCCTGAGGGGAACCCCAAAAACTCAGGGTGGGAAATGGAGCACTGGGAGGGCACTTCAGGGGTTTGGGGGCACTTCTGCAGGTCAGTCACCCCAAAAAGGCGTCCCATAATGGGGGGACCCCAAAAACCTGGGGAATCCAAAATCTCAGGGGAACCCCAAAAAACCGGGAATGGATCCTGAAATCCAGGAAGGCACCCGGGGGACTGGGAAGGGCACTCCGGGGTTTGGGGGCACTTCTATGGGTCAGTCACCCCAAAGGGCACCCCAAAACAGGGGGACCCCAAAACACGGGGGGACCCCAAAAACACAGGAGGACCCTAAAGACACCAGGGGACCCAAAAACTCACAGGAAATCCCAAAAGCGCAGGAGGCACCCAGGGAGCCAGGGGCCCAGGGAGGAGGCAGGGGGCACTTCTATGGGTCAGTCACCCCAAAGAGGCACCCCAAAATGGGGAGGACCCCAAAAACACAGGGGGACCCCAAAAACCTGGGGGATCGAAATCCTGAGGGAACCCCAAAGACCCAGGAGTGGATCCTGAAATCCAGGGAAGGCACCCAGGGGACTGGGAGGGGCACTCGGGGGTTTGGGGGCACTTCTATGGGTCAGTCACCCCAAAAGGGTACCCCAAAACACAGGGGGACCCCAAAAACACGAGGGGACCCCAAAAACACAGGGGACACCCTAAAATCTCAGGAGGAACCCCAAAAACCCTGGGTGGGACACCCAAAAACCTGGTGGAGACACCCGGGGGACTGGGAGGGGCACTCAGGGGTTTGGGGGATCAGGGTTTGGGGGCACTTCTAAGGGTCAGTCACCCCAAAAAGGGCACCCCAAAATGGGGGGGACCCCAAAAACACAGGAGGGACCCCAAAAACACAGGGGACCCCAAAACACAGGGGAATCCAGAAATCCCAGAGGAAACCCCAAAACGCAGGGGGAACCCAGGGAGGCGAGGGGACCCGGGGAGGAGCAGGGGGCACTTCTAAGGGTCAGTCACCCCAAAAAGGGCACCCCAAAATGGGGGGACCCCAAAACACAGAGGGACCCCAAAATCTCAGGAGGAACCCCAAAAACCCTGGGTGGGACACCCAAAAAACCTGGTGGAGACACCCGGGGGACTGGGAGGGGCACTCGGGGGTTTGGGGGGGATCCAGGGGTTTGGGGGCACTTCTATGGGTCAGTCACCCCCTAAAGGGTGCCCCAAAACACGGGGGGGACCCCAAAAACATGGGAGGGACCCCAAAAACCTGGGGGGAATCCAAAACCGAGGAACCCAAAAACACAGGGAAACCCCAAAATGCAGGGGGAACCCAGGGGAGTGAGGGGGACCCAGGGAGGGGGCAGGGGGCACTTCTACGGGTCAGTCACCCCAAAAAGGGCACCCCAAAATGGGGAGGGTCCCCAAAAACACAGGGGGGACCCCGAAATCTCAGGGGGAACTCCAAAAAACCTGGGAATGGATCCTGAAATCCAAGGGAGGGCACTCAGGGGATTGGGAGGGGCACTCGGGGGTTTGGGGGCACTTCTAAGGGTCAGTCACCCCAAAAAAGGGCACCCCAAAACACTGGGGGGGACCCCAAAAACACGGGAGGGACCCCAAAAACACGAGGGGAATCCCAAAAACACGAGGGGAATCCCAAAACCCAGGGGATCCCAAAAACTCAGGGGTGGGGAAATGGAGCACTGGGAGGGGCACTCGGGGGTTTGGGGGCACTTCTATGGGTCAGTCACCCCAAAAAAGGGCGCCCCAAAACACGGGGGGACCCCAAAAATACAGGGGGGACCCCAAAAACACGGGGGGACCCCAAAAACACGGGGGGAATCCGAAATCTTGAGGCTACCCCAAAAACTCAGGGGGTCTTGGTGGGTTTTGGGTGTTCCCAGGGGGGTTTTGGGGCTCTCTGAGTCAACCTGGGGGGGTCCTGAAGCATTTTTGGGGTCTCTGAGTCAGCCTGGGGGGGGATCCCAGGCAGGATTTTGGAGGGGGGTCCTGGGGGTTTGGGTGTTCCCAGGGGTGTTTGGGGTCTCTGGAGTCAGCCAGGGGATCCTGGGGGGTTTTATGGGGGTCTTGGGGGTTTGGGTGTTCCCAGGGGGTTTTGGGGGTCTCTGGAGTCAACCTGGGGGATCCTGGGTGGAGTTTGTGAGGGTCTTGGGGGTTTTGGGTGTTCCCAGTGGGGTTTTGGGGGGGTCCTGGGGGGTTTTAGGTGGTCCCAGGAGGGTTTAGGGTCTCTGAGTCAGCCTGGGGGGAATCCCGGGCAGGATTTTTGGAGGGGTCCTGGGGGTTTTGGGTGTTCCCAGGGGTTTGAGGGTCCTGAAGGATTTTTGGGGTCTCTGGAGTCAGCCTGGGAGGATCCCGGGCAGGATTTTGGAGGGGGTCCTGGGGGTTTTGGGTGTTCCCAGGGGGGTGTTGGGGGGGGTCCTGGAGCGTTTTGGGGTCTCTGGAGTCAGCCTGGGGGGATCCCGGGCAGGATTTTGGGGGGTTCTGGGGGGTTTGGGTGGTCTCAGGAGGGTTTTGGGGTCTCTGAGTCAGCCTGGGGAGTCCTGGGTGGGTTTGGGGGTTTTGGGGTCTCTGAGTCAGCCTTGGAGGGGATCCGGGTGGGTTTTGGGTGAGTCTTGGGGGGTTTTTGGGTGTTCCCAGGGTGGTTTTTGGAGGTCTCTGGAGTCAACCAAGGGTTCATTCAGGGGAGGGTGGTTTTTTGGGGTGACCTTTGGCCCCCCTACAGGCACCTGGATTTCGACCTGGACAAGACCCTTTTCTTCTTCATTGCCGGGCGCTACGAGTTCTCCAACAAGGCGCTGACATCTTCCTGGAGGCCCTGGCCAGGCCTCAGCTACCTGCTCAGGGTGACACTGGGGACACTGGGGGGACTGGGGATACTGGGGGCATTGGGGGATTGGGGACATTGAGGGGTTGGGGACATTGGGAGGATTGGGGACACTGGGGGTTGGGGGTTTGGGGACATTGGGGACACTGGGCCTTCCTGGAGGCCCTGGCCAGGCTCAACTACCTGCTCAGGGGTGACCCTGGGGACACTGGGGGCACTGGGGGACTGGGGACACTGGGGGGACTGGGGACACTGGGGACACTGGGGGCATTGGGGTCAGTGTCACCCACATCTTCCTGGAGGCCCTGGCCAGGCTCAACTACCTGCTCAGGGTGACCCTGGGGACACTGGGGGGACTGGGGGATTGGGGACACTGGGGACATTGGGGGATTGGGGACACTGGGGACATTGGGGGATTGGGGACATTGAGGGGATTGGGGGACACTAGGGGGTTGGGGGTTTGGGGACATTGGGGACACTGGGACTTCCTGGAGGCCCTGGCCAGGCTCAACTACCTGCTCAGGGTGACACTGGGGACACTGGGGGCACTGGGGACACTGGGGACACTGGGAACATTGGGGACACTGGGGACACTGGGGACATTTAGGACACTGGGGGATTGGGGACACTGGGCCTTCCTGGAGGCGCTGGCCAGGCTCAACTGCCTGCTCAGGGTGACAGGGAGGGGACATTGGGGGGATTAGGGACACTGGGGACACTGGGGGATACTGGGGACATTGGGGACATTGGGGGATTGGGGACATTAGGGGTCAGTGTCACCCACATCTTCCTGGAGGCCCTGGCCAGGCTCAACTACCTGCTCAGGGTGACAGGGAGGGGACACTAGGGGAACTGGGGACACTGGGGGACACTGGGGACACTGGGGGATTGGGGACACTGGGGACACTGGGGACACTGGGGACACATTGGGGACATTGGGGGATTGGGGACATTGAGGGGATTGAGGGATTGGGGACATTGGGGGTCAGTGTCACCACATCTTCCTGGAGGCCCTGGCCAGGCTCAACTACCTGCTCAGGGTGACAGGGAGGGGGACACTGGGGGAACTGGGGACACTGGGGGACACTGGGGACACTGGGGGATTGGGGACACTGGGGACACTGGGGACACTGGGGACACATTGGGGACATTGGAGGATTGGGGACATTGAGGGGATTGAGGGGATTGGGGACATTGGGGTCAGTGTCACCCACATCTTCCTGGAGGCCCTGGCCAGGCTCAACTGCCTGCTCAGGGTGACTCTGGGGACACTGGGGGAACTGGGGACACTGGGGGCATTGGGGAATTGGGGACATTGAGGGGGTTGGGGACACTGGGGGATTGGGGGACACTGGGGACATTGGGGACATTGGGGACACTGGGGACACTGGGACATTGAGGGACATTGAGGGATTTAGGGGACACTGGGGGATTTGGGGACATTGGGGACATTGGGGGACTGGGGACACTGGGGACATTGGGAGGATTGGGAATACTGGGGACACTGGGGATACTGGAGGGATTAGGGACACTGAGGGGGATTGGGGACACATTGGGGACATTAGGGGACATTGGGGGGATTGGGGGGATTGGGGACATTGGGGGAATTGGGGACATTGGGGACATTGGGGACATTGAGGGGATTAGGGACATTGGGGACACTGGGGACATTGGGGACATTGGGGGGATTGGGGACATTGGGGGGATTGGGGACACTGGGGACATTGGGGGGACATTGGGGGCACTTTAGGGTCATTTGGGGACACTGGGGACATTGGGGACGTTGGGGACACTGGGGGGATTGGGGACATTGGGGGACATTGGGGGGACTGGGGGGGTTGGGGACATTGGGGATTTGGGACATTGGGGACATTGGGGGATTGGGGACATTGAGGGATTGGGGACATTGGGGGACATTGGGGGATTGGGGGATTGGAGGACATTGGGGGACACATTGGGGACACTGGGGGACATTGGGGGACATTGGGGGGATTGGGGGACACTGGGGACACTGGGGGGGATTGGGGACATTGAGGGGATTGGGGACATTGGGGACATTGAGGGGGAATTGGGGACACTGGGGGGGATTGGGGACATTGGGGGCACTGGAGACCCCAGGTGACCTTGGTGACCCCGGGTGACCTTGGGGTGACCTTGGTGACCCCGGGTGACCTTGGTGACCCCAGGTGACCCTTGGTGACCCCTGGTGACCCCGGGTGACCCCTGGTGACCCCTGGTGACCCCGGATGACCTCGTTGTCCCCGCAGGTGAACGGCAGCGAGGTGACGGTGGTGGCTTTTTTCATCATGCCCGCCAGGACCAACAACTTCAACGTGGAGTCGCTCAAGGGCCAGGCCGTCAGGAAACAGCTCTGGTGGGACCCCAAAAACACCCAAAATCACCCCAAAATCACCCCAAAAACACCCAAAATCACCCCAAAAACCCCCAAAATCACCCCAAAATGACCCAGGGCCAGGCCGTCAGGAAACAGCTCTGGTGGGACCCCAAAAACACCCAAAACCACCCCAAAATCACCCCAAAAACCCCCAAAATCACCCCAAAACACCCCAAAACCCCAAAATCACCCCAAATGACCCAGGGCCAGGCCGTCAGGAAACAGCTCTGGTGGGACCCCAAAAACCCCCAAAATCACCCCAAATCACCCCAAAAACCCCCAAAATCACCCCAAAATCATCCAGGGCCAGGCCGTCAGGAAACAGCTCTGGTGGGACCCCAAAAACCCCCAAAACCACCCAAAATCACCCCAAAAACCCCCAAAATCACCCCAAAATGACCCAGGGCCAGGCCGTCAGGAAACAGCTCTGGTGGGACCCCAAAATCCCCCAAAATCACCCCAAAAACACCCCAAAATCACCCCAAAATCATCCAGACCCAGGCTGTGAGGAAACAGCTCTGGTGGGACCCCAAAAACACCCAAAATCACCCCAAAATCACCCTAAAAACACCCAAAATCACCCCAAAATCACCCCAAAATCATCCAGGCCCAGGCTGTGAGGAAACAGCTCTGGTGGGACCCCAAAATCACCCCAAAATCACCCCAAAAACACCCAAAATCACCCCAAAATCACCCCAAAATCACCCCAAAATCATCCAGGGCCAGGCCGTCAGCAAACAGCTCTGGTGGGACCCCAAAATCACCCCAAAAACACCCAAAATCACCCCAAAAACACCCAAAATCACCCCAAAAACACCCCAAAATGACCCAGGGCCAGGCCGTCAGGAAACAGCTCTGGTGGGACCCCAAAAACCCCCAAAATCACCCCAAAATCAACCCAAAAAACCCCAAAATCACCCCAAAAACACCCAAAATCACCCCAAAATCACCCCAAAATCATCCAGGGCCAGGCCGTCAGGAAACAGCTCTGGTGGGACCCCAAAAACACCCAAAATCACCCCAAAATCACCCAAAATCACCCCAAAAACCCTCAAAATGACCCCAAAATCATCCCAAAACCCACCCAGGGGACCCCAAATCCCTCCAAAACCCCTTGAGGACCCCCCCAAAATCCTCTCAGAACCCCACAAAGCCCACCCAGGGGACCCCAAATCCTCCAAAACCCCTGAGGACCCCCAAACTCCCCAAAATCCTCTCAGGACCCCCCAAACCCCCCCAAAATCCTTTCAAAACCCCTCAAACCCCCCCAAAACCACCTCAAAACCCACCCAGGGGGACCCCAAATCCCCAAAACCCCTGAGGACCCCCAAAATCCTCTCAGAACCCCCAAAACCCACCCCAAAACCCTCTGAGGACCCCCCAAACCCCCTAAATCCCCCAAATTCCCCCTTTCCCTCCCCAAACAGGGACACGGCGAACGCTGTGAAGGAGAAATTCGGGAAGAAGCTCTATGAGTCTCTGCTGGTGTAAGAACAAAACCCCCAAAAAAACTCACCCTGGACCCCCCAGAAAAACCCCTCACCCTAAACCCCCCAAAAAAATCCATCCTGAACCCCCCCAAGAAAAAACCCACCCTGAACCCCCCAAAATCCATCCTGAACCCCCCAAAAATCCATCCTGAACCCCCAAAAACAACCCCACCCTGGACCCCCTAAAAAACAAAACCACACTGGACCCCGAAAAAAACCCGACCCTGAACCCCCAAAAAACCCCTCACCTGAACACCCCAAAAAAAAACACCTGAACCCCCCCAAAAAATCCATCCTGAACACCCCCAAAAAAACCCTCACCTGAACACCCCCAACCCCCAATCCCCAAAAACCCCCACCCTGAACCCCCCCAAAAACCCCAGCCCCCTCCACCCCAAACCACTCACCCAAAAAAACCCCACCTGAACCCCCAAAAAAAAAACCACCTTGAACCCCCAAACCTCCCCAGCCTGGACCCCCAAAAAACCCTCCACACCCTGGAGCCTCCCACCCAAAAAAACCCCAACCCACCCTGAACCCCCCCAGCCCCCCAATCTCCCCCAAAAACCCTCACCCTGAATCCCCAAAAGCCCCCACCCCAAACTCCCCAAAAAGCCCCTCCAACCCTGAACCCCCCAAAGACCCTCTCCCAAAACCCCACACCCTGAACCCCAAAAAAACCTCTCCCACTCCTGAGACCCCCAAACCACCCCCACAAAAAACCCCACCCTGAACTCCCCAACTCCCCCAGACCCCCCCAAAAAACCCTCACCCCAAACCCTCCCCCAAAAAGCCCCCACACCCTGAACCCCCACCCCCACCCAGAGCCCTCCCAAAAAAAACCCCTCACCCTGAACCCCCAAAACCCCCTCCAAAAAAACCCACCCTGAACCCCCAACCCCCCCACCCTAGACCCCCAAAAACTCCCCCACCCTGGACCCCCAAAACCTCTCACTCTAAACCCCCAAACCCCCAAAAGCCCCCACCCTGAACCCCAGCCCCCCAAAAAAACCCACCCTGATGCCCCCAAACCCCCCATCCTAAACCCCCACAAAAAAACTCCTCACCCCTGAACCCCCCAAAAAACCTCCCCACCCTGAACCCCTAAAAAAACCTCACTCTGAAACCCCCAAAAACCCCCTCACCCTGAACCCCACCAAAAACCCCCTCCCAGACCCCCAAAAAAACCCCACCCCAAACCCTCCCCAAAA